AAAATTATGAGTCGAGACTGATATACTAAATCAAAAATCCTGATTAAAGTCGAATAATTAAAAAATATATTGACTTTTTAATCTCATGTCATTACTTTGACTTTTTATCTCATAATTCATTTTTAGTATGTCATCATTTTGACTTTTTATTTCATAATTCAGATTTAGTATGCCATCATTTTGACTTTTTATTTCATTATTCAGATTTAGTATGTCATCATTTTGACTTTTTATCTCATAATTCAGATTTAATATGTCATCATTTTGACTTTTTATCTCATAATTCAGATTTAGCATGTCATCATTTTTCAACATAATTCAGATTTAGCATGTCATCATTTTGACTTTTTATCTCATAATTCAGATTTAGCATTTCATCATTTTGACTTTTTATCTCATAATTCAGATTTAATATGTCATCATTTTTCAACATAATTCAGATTTAGTATGTCATCATTTTTCAACATAATTCAGTTTTAGTATGTCATCATTTTGACTTTTTATCTCATAATTCAGATTTAGTATGTCATCATTTTGACTTTTTATCTCATAATTCAGATTTAGCATGTCATCATTTTGACTTTTTATCTCATAATTCAGATTTATTAGTGTCATTTTGACTTTTTAACTCATAATTCAGATTTAGTATGTCATCATTTTGACTTTTTAACTCATAATTCAGATTTAGTATGTCATCATTTTGACTTTTTTAAGTCATAATTCAGATTTAGCATGTCATCATTTTGACTTTTTAACTCATAATTCAGATTTAGCATGTCATCATTTTGACTTTTAATCTCATAATTCAGATTTATTACTGTCATCATTTTGACTTTTTATCTCATAATTCAGATTTAGCATGTCATCATTTTGACTTTTTAACTCATAATTCAGATTTAGCATGTCATCATTTTGACTTTTTATCTCATAATTCAGATTTAGCATGTCATCATTTTGACTTTTTATCTCATAATTCAGATTTAGCATGTCATCATTTTGACTTTTTATCTCATAATTCAGATTTAGCATGTCATCATTTTGACTTTTTATCTCATAATTCAGATTTAGCATGTCATCATTTTGACTTTTTATCTCATAATTCAGATTTATTAGTGTCATCATTTTGACTTTTTAACTCATAATTCAGATTTAGCATGTCATCATTTTGACTTTTTATCTCATAATTCAGATTTAGTATGTCATCATTTTGACTTTTTAACTCATAATTCAGATTTAGCATGTCATCATTTTTCAACATAATTCAGATTTAGTATGTCATCATTTTGACTTTTTATCTCATAATTCAGATTTAGTATGTCATCATTTTGACTATTTATTTCATAATTCAGATTTAGCATGTCATCATTTTTCAACATAATTCAGATTTAGCATGTCATCATTTTGACTTTTTAACTCATAATTCAGATTTAGCATGTCATCATTTTGACTTTTTATCTCATAATTCAGATTTAGTATGTCATCATTTTGACTTTTTATCTCATAATTCAGATTTAGCATGTCATCATTTTTCAACATAATTCAGATTTAGTATGTCATCATTTTTCAACATAATTCATTTTAGTATGTCATCTTTTTGACTTTTTAACTCATAATTCAGATTTAGCATGTCATCATTTTGACTTTTTAACTCATAATTCAGATTTAGTATGTCATCATTTTGACTTTTTATCTCATAATTCAGATTTATTAGTGTCATCATTTTGACTTTTTAACTCATAATTCAGATTTAGTATGTCATCATTTTGACTTTTTAACTCATAATTCAGATTTAGCATGTCATCATTTTGACTTTTTATCTCATAATTCAGATTTAGTATGTCATCATTTTGACTTTTTATTTCATAATTCAGATTTAGTATGTCATCATTTTGACTTTTTATCTCATAATTCAGATTTAGCATGTCATCATTTTGACTTTTTAACTCATAATTCAGATTTATTAGTGTCATCATTTTGACTATTTATTTCATAATTCAGATTTAGTATGTCATCATTTTGACTTTTTAACTCATAATTCAGATTTAGCATGTCATTATTTTGACTTTTTAACTCGTAATTCAGATTTAGTATGTCATCATTTTGACTTTTTAACTCGTAATTCAGATTTAGTATGTCATCATTTTGACTTTTTATCTCATAATTCAGATTAAGCTTGTCATAAATCTGACTTTTCACGACCCACATCAGCATGATGGTTTTCTCATCTTCTCACCGAGACGTTGCACATGAAGAGGAAGATGGTGATGTTCTTCAGGATCTGCCTCTTCCTCCCGGTCGTCACGTTGAGCCGGTTCCCCGCAGGAACCGTAGCGTCCCCGTTCATCCTCCCGAACCCCTGCCTGTTCTCGCTAGCCTCCGCGTCCAGAGCAGCGCAGCGCTTATCCTGCGTCTCGTAGCCGCGGTTCACGATGCCATCGTACGGCGGCATGACGGAGAAGATCTCGGGTGGAGCCGGCTCGTCCTCTCGGCTCCGCCGGTACAGCGACTCCACGATGAACAGGTTCTGCATGCACTTCTCCAGAACCAGCAGAAGCGAGTACGCTAGGCAGATCCAGCGGAAGCTGCTACCCCCCGCCGCGGCCGCCGCCGCCGCCACCACGCTACACCAGGACATTAGCCACGAGCCCAGCGACGAGCCCAGCAGCAGCTCCGTGTCCAGCGTGCGCGATGGGTTCGCACCCGTGTCCATGGGCCAGTCCTCCAGCCGGTACACCAGCAGCCCCGCGCTGCTAGCGCCACACATGCAGGCTAGCATCACCACGCCGTAGCAGTAGAACATGGAGATGGCGGCCTCGCGCGTCTGCTCCGACTTCTCCACGTGGATGAGGTACACCACCAGAACCGTGACGGAGCTAGCCAGCGCTAGCAGGCCCGCGAGCGGCCCGATCAGAAGACCCGAACTGCGCGTGCTGGGACGCTTGCGGTTGCAGTGCCGGTCTAGCGTTCGCCCGATGTTCTTCCACATCACGAACAACATGGCCGACACGAAGATGTGGTACTCGATGTTGAAGGGATAGAGATAGTAGAGGCTGGTGGAGAACATGGAGCAGGCGCTGGTGGTGCAGTTACAGTGAGGCTCCACTTCCACTGCGGACACACACACACACACACACACACACACACACACACACACGTCAGCTCACACTCTGCAAAACCTTCGGAAGATAATCAATCAATCATTCAGCTTTTCTTCATACAGTTCATTTACATTTTTTCATTTTTAGCATTTAGTAATTTATTTGTAATAAACACTTTAAGTGGGCTATTTAAAAAGTGTTGTTTATATGTTCAATTATGATTTTTAAAACATACGCGCAGTGTTACATCATATTGTGAATGTGTGTGCGTAGAAATAATTTGTCCGCATCCGCTCTCCTCCTGAGCGCACACAAATCTGAATATCTAAATATCTAAAAATACATTTGATTCAAAGGAAAAAGACTTTTCTGACTGAGTTATTTGGTCTTTGAAGTAGATTGTAATGAAATTCGATAAGCACATTCATTATTCCCACACACAGAAACATGACTGTTCTGTGACTCTCTGGCGCCATCTAGAGATCTAATGCATTCAGTTCAGAACAAATCACTGCAAACCATCAAACCAGCAGCCAGACCTTCTGCTGGAGCAGGAAGAGCTGTGTGTGTGTGTGTGTGTGTAGAGAGAGAGAGAGAGAGAGAGAGAGAGAGAGAGAGAGAGAGACTATAGCTATAGAGCTCAGACTCCTCCCACAGTGAGCAGTCAAAAACACAGTGTCTCTCACTCACACACTCTCTCTCTCTCTCTCAGACACACACACACACACACACACACACACACCTGTAGTGATATTGTCGTATCCCAGTGCTGTTAAGCGTCTCCGGTGGTTTTTGAGGAAATGTTCGGCTTCTGACATCACTCCATTACACCAGAGCAACAGATTCGTGAAGACGGCATGAATCACTCCGAACCTGCACAACACACACACACACACACACACACACACACACACACACACACACACACACACACACACACACACACACACACACACACACACACACACACACACACACACACACACTCAGAGATGGACAGAAACAGCTCACAGGTCTGACTATAAGAATCATTTAATTTCTGTCTCCTCCAATCCACACATAATGTATTCTTGACTCGTTCCAGTGATGTTTATGTTTTATAAGGTTCTGGAACAAGACTTTATAAAGATAATAAACCAACTTAAGAGTGAGTGTGAAGTTAATGTCTTGTAATCTAGACGTTTCTCAAGGCATGTACTGAGAAACTCCTCATGCATGTGATGTGTGAAGAACATCTGTGTTCTCGTGAGGAATAAAGCCGGAGGAAGCGCGTCTGTACCTTTCGAACGTCTCGTATTTCTTGATGACGTCTTTGATGTGGAACCAGAGGAAATGCACCTGATCGGGGCAAACACACATCAACATCAGTTCTGACCGCTTTATTTCCCATTTATTGACTGACAGCTGTCCTGTCCACATGTTGAGAGAAATCAAAGTGCAGAGGCGTTGTGTGTGTGTGTGTGTGTGTGTGTGTAAACACGATGGTTAGTGTAGTTCTAGACTAAATGTGAGCATTTACTCGTCTCACTTGCACACAAAAAGATTCAATATTCCTCAAAATTAATAAAATCAGTGAAATGCAGAATCAGAATACTACGCAAACTTCCAATAACTAAATATGTTAAATAAAACATACATTTCTATGCATTTAATCTCACTTTATTGACCAATGAACTTGCTTCTGATCTTCAATGATTCAGTTAAACCATAAGCAAAAATTCCTATAGATTTTTTAGTTTTTATTGGTAAAGTGTTAAACTTTCTTCTCCTGTATTCTTCTTCTGTTAACCAGAACAGCTGAAAGGTCTGAGCGGCGCCCTCTACTGTACATTATTGTGCTCTACATTATTTTGCTCTACTGTACATTATTGTGCTCTACTGTACATTATTGTGCTCTACTGTACATTATTTTGCTCTACTGTACATTATTGTGCTCTACTGTACATTATTGTGCTCTACTGTACATTATTGTGCTCTACTGTACATTATTGTGCTCTACTGTACATTATTGTGCTCTACTGTACACTACTGTACACCACTGTTCATTGCTATACTCTACTGTACATTACTGTAATCTACTCTACTGTACCGTACACCACTGTACTCTACTGTACTCTACTGTACTCTACTGTACTCTACTGTACTCTACTGCCACTGTGTTCTACCTCTACTGTACAGGAGTGAATCTGCATTTCCTTCAGCCGAGGATTATTATTTCACTTTTGGTGTGAAATGGTCTTTACTTTTGCCCAAAAATATAACTTTTTTGTTATAAAAAACAAACCCAGTCCAGGTGGGGGGAAAGTACCGCAAAAGTAACGTAACGCATTACTTTTCTAAAATAAGTAACTAAGTAATGCAATTAGTTACTTTTTAAGGGAGTAACGCAAAATTGTAACGCACTACTTTTCAAAGTAACTTTCCCCAACTTTGTACACCTTCTGCATCCATCTAAAGCCGAATCGCTTCATAACTGAAGAAATTGGCAACATTACTCACTGCTTTGGAACAAATTGTAACGGTCACATTGTGCATTTATGGTAATTTGATGCACAAGGTACAATGAGAACTGCGCATGTGTGTAGAGTGTCACTAATAGATGTGACAGGAGAAGAGATAACCGACTTTTGTACACTTTCTTTTATTTCCATTGATATGTGTGACCAGAGTTGAATGTTTAATTTGTATGCTTTTTCTCACGCAATGTATGCGGATGACGAGTGTGACGTTTAAGTAATTTTATTAAACCCGGGGAAATATTTTTCAACATCTCAACTTTGCTTTACAAAATCAAACAAGAGCGCGTGACACATGCGCGTTCTCACCTGGGATATGGTGTGCAGCGCGTGCACGATGGGATAGACCCCGAGCACGGCGGAGATGCAGGAATGATACCCGACGAAATATCCGATGCGGAACGCGTCCATGATGAGCGACAGTAACGCCAGCATCGTCAGCCCCCCTGACAAGCAAACAGCACATAAATCAATCATTCTCACGCTCACAGAGAAAGCGTTCAGTAAACGAGCCGGTTGGTTGGTTCACCTCGGATCCAGCTCGTGCCCGCGTGCGCGTCTCTCTCCGGCACCGGGCTGCGCTCGCGCTCCCTCCGGATCATATAGCAGATCATCCACGCGAGCTGCACGAGCATGAGCACCGTGATGAAGGTCAGCAGGTGTTCCTCTCTCACCGCGGGCCCGTGCTGCGCGAGCGCGAGCATCACGGACACGCCGATCAGCAGCAGGTTCGTGCCGTACTGCGCGCTCAGGGTCTGCGCGTTCTTGTGCGGGTACTTCTTGGTCAAACTCACCTTGAGCTTGGAGAAAAGTTTCTTTTCTCCGTCTGAGGATGATGATGAGGAGGAACTGGGGCCGTATTTGTTCAGACACATGATGTCCAGGCTGTGCTCCACCATGGTGCCGGTTAAACGCTGTGGGAACGCTTTCGGAAGCTCGCGGAACGGCAGACATGCTCAGTGCGCGTCCATCGCGCGGGTAATCGCGCTATATACCTCCCAGAAAGAGCAGCAGATTAACGCGGATTGAGTTTCATTCATCTGTGAGCCAAGCGATGCCAAGAACGCGCAAACTTCACCGTGCGTTCCTCCTGACGCGCGCGCTGCTCATCGCATCTCCGCGCGCTCTGGCAGGCGAGTCATTTCTCCGTGAGATGTGAAGCTCCAGTGAGCTTTTCCTCGGCCTCTGTGGCTCAAGCGCAGCTTTTAGGATCTCGGATTTCACTGGTCAAAGGCTCTTTATGGACGCCCTCCTTTGTTGACCGCGGACTCGTATAACGACCTGCATAGGAAGAATGTGTTCAACATTAAATCTGCGCGAACCTTCGTGCGGAAATAAAGACGGATTGCGAAACGCGGGTGAAATCAGACACAATCTCCTCTTGTCGAAGCACTTGAAGAAAAGTTTGCGAGAACAAACCGAATTTGACGGTGTGCTCAATTACAGAGAGACCCACAATTAGATGAAAGCGATCCGGGCCAGAGAGACGCAACAAAAGAGCTTCTATCATACCGGCTCTGACCTGGATTAACATGCGCACAAACCCGCATCAGCCGCAAATCATCGCGTTCACTCGCGCGTCACCGCAGACCGAGATCAAACGCGCACGCTTCCGATGACCTTTGACACAGTCTGACACAGATGCGATCACGCGCTTTTCATCATCATTCTCTCATAATGTCATCAGCCAGGAGTTTGATCAAGAGGCGCGCGGAGAACTGAACCTGATGAAAACTAAACCCTAAAGGACGCGCGCGCGTTAATGGGACTTCTGTTATAATTTGGAACAAGTTCGAATGTGGACAAATAATGAGAGATAACGGGAGAAAGTCTGCATAAACTCACACATGCCCATGCATCTAATTTACATATTCATACAGGTCTAAAAGACGAGGGTGCCGACGCACTGTATTTTATTTAACTTAAATCTGTGTAGCTAGTCTATGTGAACATGAAATGATAATAAAGAGAATCGCGATATTTAATCTTATTCAATTTTAGCTGCTACAATTAAAGTTAAAGTAACAGATATACACATTATCTGAGAAATTTAGTTTCTTAAGCAAACATAATGGCCCAGAAATAAGTAAACTATAATTCCATATACCCAACCCCCCCCCCCCCCCCCCCCATAAAAAAAAAAAAAAAAAATTAAGCCTATTTTGCGACCCTTTATTGCATTGTGACAAGATGATAATCATTCTTGCTATGCATTAGGTTTGAGCTTCAGCAAGAACCAATGAGGTTCATTCTCGTGTTACGCAGCACGTTTGAGCTTCAGCAAGAACCAATGAGGATCATTCTCGTGTTACGCAGCACGTTTGAGCTTCAGCAAGAACCAATGAGGATCATTCTAGTGTTACGCAGCACGTTTGAGCTTCTGCAAGAACCAATGAGGATCATTCTAGTGTTACGCAGCACGTTTAAACTTCAGCAAGAACCAATGAGGATCATTCTAGTGTTACGCAGCACGTTTGAGCTTCTGCAAGAACCAATGAGGATCATTCTAGTGTTACGCAGCACGTTTAAACTTCAGCAAGAACCAATGAGGATCATTCTAGTGTTACGCAGCACGTTTAAACTTCAGCAAGAACCAATGAGGATCATTCTCGTGTTACGCAGCACGTTTGAGCTTCTGCAAGAACCAATGAGGATCATTCTAGTGTTACGCAGCACGTTTAAACTTCAGCAAGAACCAATGAGGTTCATTCTCATGTTACGCAGCACGTTTGAGCTTCTGCAAGAACCAATGAGGATCATTCTCGTGTTACGCAGCATGTTTGAGCTTCTGCAAGAACCAATGAGGTTCATTCTCGTGTTACGCAGCACGTTTGAGCTTCTGCAAGAACCAATGAGGATCATTCTCGTGTTACGCAGCACGTTTGAGCTTCTTCAAGAACCAATGAGGATCATTCTCGTGTTACGTAACACATTTGAGCTTCTGCAAGAACCAATGAGGATCATTCTCGTGTTACGCAGCACGTTTGAGCTTCTGCAAGAACCAATGAGGATCATTCTCGTGTTACGCAGCACGTTTGAGCTTCTTCAAGAACCAATGAGGTTCATTCTCGTGTTACGCAGCACGTTTGAGCTTCAGCAAGAACCAATGAGGTTCATTCTAGTGTTACGCAGCACGTTTGAGCTTCTTCAAGAACCAATGAGGATCATTCTAGTGTTACGCAGCACGTTTGAGCTTCTTCAAGAACCAATGAGGTTCATTCTCGTGTTACGCAGCATGTTTGAGCTTCTTCAAGAACCAATGAGGTTCATTCTCGTGTTACGCAGCATGTTTGAGCTTCTTCAAGAACCAATGAGGATCATTCTCGTGTTACGCAGCACGTTTGAGCTTCTTCAAGAACCAATGAGGATCATTCTAGTGTTACGTAACACGTTTGAGCTTCTGCAAGAACCAATGAGGATCATTCTAGTGTTACGTAACACGTTTGAGCTTCAGCAAGAACCAATGAGGATCATTCTAGTGTTACGTAACACGTTTGAGCTTCAGCAAGAACCAATGAGGATCATTCTCGTGTTACGCAGCACGTTTGAGCTTCTGCAAGAACCAATGAGGATCATTCTCGTGTTACGCAGCACGTTTGAGCTTCAGCAGAACCAATGAGGATCATTCTCGTGTTACGTAACACGTTTGAGCTTCAGCAGAACCAATGAGGTTCATTCTCGTGTTACACAGCACGTTTGAGCTTCAGCAAGAACCAATGAGGATCATTCTCCTGTTACGCAGCACGTTTGAGCTTCTGCAAGAACCAATGAGGATCATTCTCGTGTTACGCAGCACGTTTGAGCTTCTGCAAGAACCAATGAGGATCATTCTAGTGTTACGTAACACGTTTGAGGTTCAGCAAGAACCAATGAGGTTCATTCTCGTGTTACGCAGCATGTTTGAGCTTCTTCAAGAACCAATGAGGATCATTCTCGTGTTACGCAGCACCTTTGAGCTTCAGCAAGAACCAATGAGGTTCATTCTCGTGTTACGCAGCACGTTTGAGGTCCAGCAAGAACCAATGAGGATCATTCTCGTGTTACGCAGCACGTTTGAGCTTCTGCAAGAACCAATGAGGATCATTCTAGCGTTACGCAGCACGTTTGAGCTTCTGCAAGAACCAATGAGGATCATTCTCGTGTTACGCAGCACGTTTGAGGTCCAGCAAGAACCAATGAGGATCATTCTCGTGTTACGCAGCACGTTTGAGCTTCTGCAAGAACCAATGAGGTTCATTCTCGTGTTACGCAGCACGTTTGAGCTTCTGCAAGAACCAATGAGGATCATTCTAGTGTTACGCAGCACGTTTGAGCTTCTGCAAGAACCAATGAGGATCATTCTCGTGTTACGCAGCATGTTTGAGCTTCTGCGAGAACCAATGAGGATCATTCTCGTGTTACGCAGCATGTTTGAGCTTCTTCAAGAACCAATGAGGTTCATTCTCGTGTTACGCAGCACGTTTGAGCTTCTGCGAGAACCAATGAGGATCATTCTCGTGTTACGCAGCACGTTTGAGCTTCTGCAAGAACCAATGAGGATCATTCTCGTGTTACGCAGCATGTTTGAGCTTCTTCAAGAACCAATGAGGTTCATTCTCGTGTTACGCAGCACGTTTGAGCTTCTGCGAGAACCAATGAGGATCATTCTCGTGTTACGCAGCATGTTTGAGCTTCTTCAAGAACCAATGAGGTTCATTCTCGTGTTACGCAGCACGTTTGAGCTTCAGCAAGAACCAATGAGGTTCATTCTCGTGTTACGCAGCACGTTTGAGCTTCTGCAAGAACCAATGAGGATCATTCTCGTGTTACGCAGCACGTTTGAGCTTCTGCAAGAACCAATGAGGTTCATTCTAGTGTTACGCAGCACGTTTGAGCTTCTGCAAGAACCAATGAGGATCATTCTCGTGTTACGCAGCACGTTTGAGCTTCTGCAAGAACCAATGAGGTTCATTCTAGTGTTACGCAGCACGTTTGAGCTTCTGCAAGAACCAATGAGGTTCATTCTAGTGTTACGCAGCACGTTTGAGCTTCAGCAAGAACCAATGAGGATCATTCTCGTGTTACGCAGCACGTTTGAGCTTCTGCAAGAACCAATGAGGTTCATTCTCGTGTTACGCAGCACGTTTGAGCTTCAGCAAGAACCAATGAGGTTCATTCTCGTGTTACGCAGCACGTTTGAGCTTCTGCAAGAACCAATGAGGTTCATTCTAGTGTTACGTAACACGTTTGAGCTTCTGCAAGAACCAATGAGGATCATTCTCGTGTTACGCAGCACGTTTGAGCTTCTGCAAGAACCAATGAGGTTCATTCTCGTGTTACGCAGCACGTTTGAGCTTCTGCAAGAACAAATCAGGATCATTCTCGTGTTACGCAGCACGTTTGAGCTTCTGCAAGAACCAATGAGGATCATTCTAGTGTTACGCAGCACGTTTGAGCTTCTGCAAGAACCAATGAGGATCATTCTCGTGTTACGTAACACGTTTGAGCTTCTGCAAGAACCAATGAGGTTCATTCTAGTGTTACGTAACACGTTTGAGCTTCTGCAAGAACCAATGAGGATCATTCTCGTGTTACGCAGCACGTTTGAGCTTCTGCAAGAACCAATGAGGATCATTCTCGTGTTACGCAGCACGTTTGAGCTTCTGCAAGAACCAATGAGGATCATTCTAGTGTTACGCAGCACGTTTGAGCTTCAGCAAGAACCAATGAGGATCATTCTCGTGTTACGCAGCACGTTTGAGCTTCTGCAAGAACCAATGAGGATCATTCTCGTGTTACGCAGCACGTTTGAGCTTCTGCAAGAACCAATGAGGATCATTCTAGTGTTACGCAGCACGTTTGAGCTTCTGCAAGAACCAATGAGGATCATTCTCGTGTTACGCAGCACGTTTGAGCTTCTGCAAGAACCAATGAGGATCATTCTCGTGTTACGTAACACGTTTGAGCTTCTGCAAGAACCAATGAGGATCATTCTCGTGTTACGCAGCACGTTTGAGCTTCTGCAAGAACCAATGAGGATCATTCTAGTGTTACGCAGCACGTTTGAGCTTCTGCAAGAAGTAATGAGGATCATTCTCGTGTTACGCAGCACGTTTGAGGTTCTGCAAGAACCAATGAGGATCATTCTCGTGTTACGTAACACGTTTGAGCTTCTGCAAGAACCAATGAGGATCATTCTCGTGTTACGCAGCACGTTTGAGCTTCAGCAAGAACCAATGAGGATCATTCTCGTGTTACGTAACACGTTTGAGCTTCTGCAAGAACCAATGAGGATCATTCTCGTGTTACGCAGCACGTTTGAGCTTCTGCAAGAAACAATGAGGATCATTCTCGTGTTACGCAGCACGTTTGAGCTTCAGCAAGAACCAATGAGGATCATTCTCGTGTTACGCAGCACGTTTGAGCTTCTGCAAGAACCAATGAGGATCATTCTCGTGTTACGCAGCACGTTTGAGCTTCAGCAAGAACCAATGAGGTTCATTCTCGTGTTACGCAGCACGTTTGAGCTTCAGCAAGAACCAATGAGGTTCATTCTCGTGTTACACAGCACGTTTGAGCTTCAGCAAGAACCAATGAGGTTCATTCTCGTGTTACACAGCACGTTTGAGCTTCAGCAAGAACCAATGAGGTTCATTCTCGTGTTACGCAGCACGTTTGAGCTTCAGCAAGAACCAATGAGGTTCATTCTCGTGTTACGCAGCACGTTTGAGCTTCAGCAAGAACCAATGAGGTTCATTCTCGTGTTACGCAGCATGTTTGAGCTTCTGCGAGAACCAATGAGGATCATTCTCGTGTTACGCAGCACGTTTGAGCTTCAGCAAGAACCAATGAGGTTCATTCTCGTGTTACGCAGTACGTTTGAGCTTCAGCAAGAACCAATGACGAT